ATGGCAGCATGTATGGTATTATATCAGTACTACACAAACAACCTTTACACTATGAAAAAGTTATGAATATGTAAATTCATCATACGAGTTTCATATCAAGTTGCTAGTAACGTTGTTGTAGCCATGTCCATCTCAGGGTATTAGAGAATATCTTTTATTGGATCAACTTCTGTTAGTTAAAAAAAGACAAGCTTTTAAGCTATACTGAACTTTTTCTCAGGCCTGGGAAAGGTACTCCAGGTCAGAGCTAAACAGAAGGTGGAACATGACTGTTTAGTGTAAATAGTTAATATGTATTATTAAAGTGACTATTCAAGATAAAGTGACCTGTTAACATCTTGGAAGTCATAGGGGGGAAGAAAAAGGGGGTTAGTGGGTTACTAATTGCAGTAATAAGCCACAAAACCCGAATATTTATTAAGAGTTTGGGTTTTTTTACATTCTAGCAACATTATGAACTCAAATTCCCATCAAAATGTAGAAAAAGGTCCTGACCATGCCTATCACATGTGCTCCAAATATAACTAACTATGTGGGTAAAAACGAGACAATCACTGTGCTCTTGAATGAACTCACACAAAAATTATGAAAGACAAAAACATAGTATCAATTTCAATATCTGACCTAGGAGGCCTCATCCTCAAAGGAAACTTGAAAACCAAATTGAAAGATGAGCCTGAGAATGTACATTTATTAACTCTGTTCAAACCTGAAAATAACTTTTAATAAAGACATCTATCTGCCTTATTAAAACAATCTGCAACCCACTACTCCCTTTTTCTGTCCTATGACTGCAGAGATGTTAACTGGACAGGCCACATTGAATGGTCTCTTACAACATATCAACTACTTATGCAAAACAACCAGTTCCACCTTCTCTTTAGCTGTTACATTTTGAGAACCTTTTCCAGACCCAGAAGCCTCTGCGTAGCTCAAAAGCTAATCTCTGTCACCAAAAGAAATTAGTCCAATCAAAGATACTATTTCACCCATCCTCTCTCTCTCTATTAATACCCAGTCTACACTAGAAAAATTAGATTGATTTAACTATGTTGGTCAAGATGTAAAAATCCACACCCCTGAGCAGTGGCATTAAGCCGCCCTAAGTCCCCATGTACAGAGTGATAGGCAACAGAAGAAATCTTCCATTGATCAAGATAATGGGAGAACCCTTTCTCCTCATATAGGTAGCATCTAAAACTGCAGCACCACAGTGGTACAGCTGCAGTGATGCAGCTGCATCACTAACATTTTAAGAGTACATAAACTCTAACGTTGCACATTACAGATTTGTAGCTGTCAATTTCTGCTAATTTATATGCTTCAGTAAAAAGAGGAGAGAGAGACATGTGAAGAACCAACAGAAAATAAGGGCTTCTTTCTACTCACATTTTGTCACATTGTAATAAAACTCCTTAGACATGTATGGGTGCAGAATCAGTCCCGGAGGATATGTCTACACAGCAAAGTTATTTCAGAATGAGCTATTCCGGAATAGCATATCTAGACTGCAGGGAAGCCTCAAATTTAATCTGAGGCAGCACGTCTACATTAGGGAAGCCTATCTCAATTTAGAGCCTCAGGAGGCATTGGGGGGGGAATGACTTAGAATGGCCCTGGTGAGGGGCTATTTCAAAATAGCATAATGCCTACACATGCCTTATTTCGAAATAGCTATTTTGGAAGAGGTTTTATTTTTTGTAGAATGAGGTTTACAAATTTCGGAATAAGCCACCCATTATTTCGAAATTATTTCAAAATAACAGAATGCCTGTGTAGATGTTCACATAGTTATTTTGGAATAACAGCCATTATTCCAAAATAATTTTGTTGTGCAGACATACTTTAAGTGGGCACAAGAGCATATAGTGCAATTTTTTTGATGTGCTGCTTCATTGATCTTTGGTATGCAGCAAAATGGTGACCAGTTAACCCAAAGAAGAGCTTAAAATCCAGCAAACCAAAGTGTTCAGTTTTACACAGAATAGGGAGATTTTATTCTGTGCTTACTCTGGGTTTCTATACTTAAAAAAAAAGCCAACTTCATCGTATGTTCTGATACATCTACATAGCTGTTTTTGGTTTTTCAATATTTTAACTTCATATTTACGGAAATGTTCTGAAAATTTCTCCTCAATACAAAAGTATTCTGATCCTCATGTTAACAGAAGGGAGCAGCTTTCTGCATTATTATCCATCTACTAGTACGTATCATGCAAAATACAAAATAACATCAATGATGTCTCATTTATGAGTTCTAATGATCAGTAAAAACATACATTTAACTATTTTAATTATATGTAGCCCTGATCCAGCAAAACACTTGCATGCTTAAATCATGTGCTTAATGTCAATTCATCTCATTGACTTCAATAATTATGTACAAAGTACTTGGCTTGAGTAAGGATTTATATTCCTTCATATAATGTTTTTAGTTCTGCTCTCTTAAAAAGAAAGGGGAGGGGGGAAGGGAAACAGAAGCAAGTAGTCCTAAGTATGACTAGCCACAAGTTTCAGAAGAAAACAAATTAATCTCTTTCCTCCATTTGCTCAAAAATCATAGGCATTAATTTGAAATGGAAATCTGAAGAGTTATTGCATCTTGTGAGGAAACATTTTTTTACTTCTATTCAGAGAATAACCTTTTCAAATTGAAATTGTGTCAAATTATTTTCAAAAGAAAAATTGTAAAATATAAAAAACACACATTGGAAATAATAGAAAAGTCACCTCATCATTCAGCAAAATTAATGCTCCATTGTCAAATCAGGTATTTTAAAACATATTTAGGGACTTGAACTAAAACTGCTTTGGTAATATACTTTACAATTATGTCAACTATTATAGAGATAAGCTATTTCTGAACTTTCCATGTTAGGAACATTCAAATCCATTTTGCTGAAGTATCCCAACAAAGAAAAAAATCCTCAAGAATTCTTTCCAGGACTACCAATATAGGTCCTAATTTTGAAAGAAACAACATATTACATCATCTACTTTTGTCATAAATCTTGTTTGGTTTTAAACTAGTATCATGAACCAAAATAAGTCATTAAAGAGAATCTCAAAATTAGTCTTTACTTATCCCCAAGCCAATGCAAGAAGTTGTCAAAATGGCAATAATAACCCATAAAACTAATCAAGACTCCCTACAGAGATTAATACCAGAAACACTAATGTATTTTCTGTCTAAAGTATGACTATGCCATTATTAATGTTTACTAGTACTCTGGTGGCATCTCTGTTCCAAATGAGGTCTAGGCACCACTGTGTTAAACACTGAACACAGTAATACATGGTCTTTGCTCCAAAGGACTGACAATCTAAACTAGGGATGGGAAATCTATGGCTTAAAGGCCGTAAACAGCCCTGAGCTTCCCTTGATTCAGCCCATGAAGCTTACCTGCCCCACCCTCACCTGCAGCGAGGATCCTGCACTAAAGCCACTGTGTGGCCAGTTTTGCCATTCCCCTTCTCTCCCTGCTTGGGAAACAGGAGCACAGAGAAGTTAGCGCATAGGCCTACAGGCTTTTTCCCCCTACCAGCACTCCCGATATCCAGGAACTGCCATCTGTGCCCCCCCACCCCAGAACTGTACCAGATTAAGAATCATAGAATCGGAAGGGACCTCAGGAGGTCATCAAATACTGTCTCCTGCCCTCGAGGCAGGAGAAAGCACCATCTAGATTATCCCTGATACATGACTATCTAACCTGCTCTTAAATATCTCAAATTATATTAGCACCCCAATCCCCTGCCTCCCCTTTAAGATCCTACACTCTTGGCACGCTTCTGCACCACCACCTCTCCACACTGAACCCCTCGTTTTTGGCCCTCAGAGCCCCCACAAAATCTACTAGTCATAGGCCTCCAGAAGAATTAATCCAGCCCTGGGGGGAAGCCCTGAATCGCAGTGTCTCTCTTTACCCCTCCACCCTCGGCAGGGCTGGAGCAGGAGGGGAGCCCTAGTGCTTCCAGTTGCATGAGTGACTTTTTTCCTGCTTCTCAGCTAGGAACCACATCTATGAGGGTTCCCCCCCCCCTTCTCACTTAGGGGCCAGGTCAGTGAGGGGTTTTTTGCTTCTCACTTATGTGTGGCACCCCAAATGATTTTGGGGGAAACTCAAAAAAGTTTGCCCACCCCAGATCTAAAAAGACAGGGATTACAAAATGCCAGTACAGCAAGTGGTATGTTGTTCTGCAAATGGTCTATTACTCCGCAATTTTTGGTGGCACAGTTTTTGTCAGGAAGGTGATGGCTAAACAGACAGAAAACTGAAGAAGAGTGGATAGCAGGGAACAAAGTAAAGGGGATTGGAGAAGAAAGAGGGATGGAAGACCAGGATTAAGTACTACAAGTAAAGTGAGGCAAAGAGACTGTGAGGGATCTGGAGCAAAACAGCCAATCAGCACAGGTGAATGAATGTATAGAATAGAAACTGTAGAAAGCATCCAAAGTTCCCTACTGTAGCTATTTGTCTGCTTCTGCCACTTTGGTCACATATTCATAGACAGACAGACGCACTCTAAGAGGATAGATAGATGATAGTTTTCAACAGGAAAATGTGGTTTGGAGTTTAATATTCTTGAAGAGACCTTTGCTGCTTGCACAGTATGCAAGTCCCTACTAATACTTCAACTATGTAAAGGCGTTCATAGAAATACAGACTATAAACAGCCCTCTTTCAGGGAAAAAAAAATGAGCATGTTACAGATGGAGGCTGAAGCCTTTTTAAATAAAATAAAGTTATGACTCTATCCCCTACAGATATTGTATGTAAATAAAATGTACTTGTTAAATAATTATGTAAATTCAAGTGTGGAAGGCCTTAGTACTTACCCTGACTACACTGAAGTCCAGCTTAGTTTCTTGTGCACACTGTAATATGAGCTGAAAGCAATTTTTACTTTGATTTGTCATTCCATTTTCATAATAACGCTGTAATATCCTTTGTTGTTCTACAGTAAATACAGAACGCAGATTCATCTAAAAATAAAAGAAGATACTCTGAAAGTTGGAATAAATATTTTAATACTTGTAGAAATTACAGGTTCTCAGTTATCCAAACAATCATAAAACTACAGTGTACACATCTCACTTTTTTCCTAAAATAATTTCATCCATACTGATATTTTTATGTATTTTTCAAAATTTGATACAAACTGTTTGTGGTTTTCCTTTATGACAGGGATTTAATCTGAGCTTTTAAATCATATAGTCAAAAAAGCTGTCACCTTTTTATACTAACTAAAAACCTCTAATTAATTTCAGTTAGAGAAGTGTCTTCCTTTAACACAAGACACACTGAAGATGCCAATGTTTCTTGTAACAAACACCAATATATTCTCCACAGAGGAGCACAAAAGTATCGGCAAAGACAAATTGTGATGTTGGGGATAGTGAAGAATCATCAGACATTTAGCCAAGCCTGTAAAGGCCTGGTCTACACATAGAGATGTGTCACACGGAGCTGTGAAAAATTCCACATTCTGAATGCAGCAGTTAGGTCCATCTAGCCATGCTAACTTTTACTGTAAATGCTGTTAAATCAGTGGAAGAATTCTTCCATCATCAACCTAGCCACTGCATCTTAGAGAGAGAGATGAACTACACTGAAAAAACCTTTAGTCAATATAGGAAGTGTCTACACTACAACACTTCAGCATCATGGTGTATTGCTGTCGCACAGTCTCAGAAGGGTAGCCATGTAAGTCTGTAACTAAAAACAAGGAGCAGTCCTGTGGCACCTTAGAGACTTACAATGTTATTAGGTCATGAGCTTTTGTGGGTAAAATCCACTTTTTCAAATGAGTTGGAGTGGAAATTACAGAATCCAAGGTGTACATAATAGCAAAAGAAGTTACCTGTCAATTGTGGGACCAGTGTTAATGATGCTAAGGAAGTCAGGATGGATGTGTCTCATTCACAGCATTTGATGCAGAGATATGAATATCCAAGACTAGGAAATTGTCTTTTGTAGTGAGTTAACCAGTTAAGATCTTTATTAAATCCTAACAATAAATCAAAGATCTTAACTGATTAACGCCTAGCAAAATGAAGTTGTTACCTCAAAGGATGAGCATTTTAGGCCTCTACCCTTATGCACTCAAAATTCTGGTTGAAGTTAGTTGGAATTTTGAGGGCACATAATTCAGGACTGGGCTCTTTATTTGGCTTTAAACAAAAGGCAGCACCAATAAGCTAGCATATGATAGTTTTGGAAGTAGCTGACATTGTGCCTCAGGAAGCAAAGAGCACCTGATCATACCAATTATTTGTACACTTTCAGTAAGTGCAGAACACAGTAAAAAAGTCCATCTTGCGGGAAACTAGAAAAAAAATCAATCCCAGTTTGGTTGGATATTTTAAGGGTACAAGTTCTTACAATAATTTTTCGTATAATTAAAAACATCTAAAAAATTAAATTGCTTGTAGATTTAGAGTAAAATAAACATCATGTATGAAAAGATCCAGCTCGTTTTAACAAAAACAGAATATTAGACTTGGATAGTCCAGAACAAGAGAACAAACTCAATATTCAGCAAACTAATTCTTCAAAATTAAACATTTGTTACATTTAAGTGAAATCACTCTACCCTTACAAGCTAGCCGGCTTAAAAAAAACCCTGTAGATTTATTTTCTTTAAATATGTGTGACAAAACAACATGTTTGAAATTTTTTATACTATGATCTGAAATCTGTCAAACCTCAGCAAGGTGCTTCACTACCAATAGTAACAAATCATTAATGTTTAGGAGTTGTGGTAAAATTCTACTATTTCCTAGACCAGAGCTTTAATGACAGAATTTATTTTCCTCCAAATGCTGATAATGGGGGGAAAGAGATAATTTTCACAAACATTTTTTATGTGGCTTTCAAAATTTAGATGATTAATTCTTTTCCTTCTAATAGTGCCAAGTGAAGATGATTAGTCTACACCAGATCACCTCCCCTTCCATCGCATAGCTTAGATTGTCTGTCTAATAGAAGTTATGTTGTTTACTGCACAAGCAGACCTGTCAAGTGTCAAGCATGTTGCACTGAGGTCTATCATGCACCAGGCAGAACTGGGAAAATGTCACACACCTCGGATGGATGGAGAAGGAGAGAGAGAGAGAGAGAGATCACACCTCCCAACACTCTGTAGCCTAAAATATATAACTTAAGATCCAAATTGCTTGGTCAAACTGCAGTAAGGGTGCATCTACACTGCACCATAGGTCAAAATAAGATACGCAATTTGAGATACACAAATTGCATATCTTGTTTCAATCTTATTTCAAAATAGCTTATTTTGTAAATTGCGAAATAACCAACTGTTCTGAAATGTCCCTTAACCTCATTTCACGAGGCGTTACACGTATGTCGGAATACTGAGCCCGTTATATTTTGAAATAACGGGCTTGCTGTTAAGATGTGAGATAGCTATTTCGGGATACTTCTGGTATCCCAAAATAGCACTGTGGTGTAGATGTAGCCTTAAGGTGCAGACTCATGAGAAAATAATAAAAAAATTATAAGTAAATGAAAAGATTTCAGTGTCCATTCTAAAATATCTAGAAGTACAGATATGGCAAATAGGCTGTCTATTGATTATCCTTGGCCTATAGCAGAGTTGGGCAATAATATAGCAGTGATTCACCAGGGTTGGCCTCTGGAAGGCCGCCAGAGCTATATTTACTTGGATGGTTGCAAGTACCCACAATCGCAGCTCCCATTGGCCACAGATTGCCATTCTCAGCCAATGGGAGTGTCAGGAAGTAGCGCAGAATGGGACACCACTTGCCACAGCTCCTATTGCCATTCCCAGCCAATCATAAGAACAGCCATGCTGGGTCAGATCAAAGATCCATCTAGCCCAGTATCCTGTCTTCCCACAGTGGCCAATGCCAGATGCCCCTGACAGAGTGAACAGAACAGATACAGGAGGCCCCCGGCTTGCGAGCCCCTGAGTTCCGACTCCCCGCACTTACAACGATTTTTGTAAGTGCTGAAGGGGCCAAAACCCCCTGATTTATGTCCTTGGCCTGCATTTACGATGGTGCATGGCAAGTCGAAGGCCTCCTGTAATTATCAAGTGATCCCGCTCCTGTCATCCATTTCCAACCCCTGACAAGCAGAGGCTAGGGACACCATTCCTACCCATCCTGGCTAATAAGTATTGATGGACCTAACCTCCATGAATTATCTAGTTCTTTTTTTAACCTTGTTCAAGTCCTGGTCTTTATGCTCTGGCAAGGGACTTTCAATTGCCAGTACTTGTGATTGTACAGGTACATATAGTGGTGGGGGCCTGCAGGAGCTAAATCTAGCAGGCTGGATCCAGCCCGCAAGCCAATATTTGCCCACCCCGGCCTACAGGAACGTACATAACTATAAGACAAGAGATTATGAACAGGGCCTTAGGCCGATTCGGTCGAATAAGGCCCCACGCCTAAGGGGGCCCTGCGCCCCTGAACCCGGAAGTGCCGGCTGGCGTTACAATTCAGAGCCGGGGGCCCTGCTCCACTACTATGTGGAGCTGGATCTCTCCCCCGGCTCTGCCTGGAAAGCGCCCCGGACTCCCCTGCCTGCCCCCCACCGCGTGTCCTCCCACCCCCATCCCGC